GAGCAGCATATTTTCTTCGTGTTTACATAAACGAAATTTTTGTGGGAACTTAATACATACTTTTACACATACATACATGTATACTTTTACTTTCAGTTTCAGCTTAGTCGCTGAATGCACATAGTTGGTTTATCACTTTATTACTAGCCTTCGAAAAAAAATAGAAACTAAAAAAAAATAAAAAAAATGCTGAGAAAATCCACTAGTCGCCAGGCTGTTTTTTCCAACAAAATTCACCATTTCATATCTTTCATTTCGCTTTTCCATCCTTCTCCCTTCAACTGAATTGGCCATTTGCGAATAGAAGAATGAGAAAATAATTCTGTTGATGGCGATTTGACAGAAATGTGTTGAGCGTTGGACGCCGCTCTTAGTTATGCTTCGTCGCTTACGGCATTTGCTGCAGTGTTCTCTACGCCTTTGTCCGTCTTGTAGGCAATTTTACAACCATTGCCATTATGTGCTGGTATCTGCATACAACAGCATTTACATCTTTTACTCTTCTTCTCTTTTAAATGCAAAGCACAAAAAAAGTACAAAATGTGTTAACAAATCTGTGTGTAAATGTGTGCGTGTGTGTTTGTGGTTAGGGATAATGGTATCATGTTGTTATTGTTGGACTTTTATTTGCAATGAGGGAGTAGTTAAAGCTTTAGGCTACTAGTTAATGTTAGTTGCTTGCCATTCGCGCTTGGTTTTTTTTTTTTTTTTTTTTTTNCTCTTTTTCGCTTTTTTTTTTTTTTTTTTTTTTGTTTTTCGTATGGCTTTGTTATCCCGCCGGCAAACGCGTACAAAATCGCTGACATGTTAATTTTTCTTTATCATTTATTCTCTACATATATTCTGAAATGCCTTTATGCGGTTGTATGTGTATAAGGGAGCACACAATTCGAAAGGAGGCACGCAACGTGATATAATCGAAATTGTTTTATGTTCTGGAAAAATGTACGTAATAATAGTTGACGTCTAATTGCATAAGTACACTCGTAAATCTTTAGAAAATGATTTTTGCTAACAAAATTTGCAAATGGTGGCAACACTGGCATTGAGAAATGGATTCATTATGAACGCAAGAGATCGCTTGTGAAGGCCGGTCAATCATCGACATCAACGGCAAAGCCGAATATCCATGGTGCCAAGGTTATGCTATGTATTTGGTGGGACTACAAGTGTGTGCTCTATTATGAGCTATTGAAATCGAGTCAGACGATCAATGGGGACCTCTACCGAAAAAACCACCAGAATATGCGACCAGACACGAATCAATAATTTTTCATCATGACAACGCTCGGCCACAAGCGGCAAGGCCAGTTAAAAACTATTTGGAAAAGTGTGGGTGGAAAGTTTTACCTCACCCACCTTATAGCCCAGACATAGTACCGTCCGATTACCACTTCTTCAGATCAATGCAGAATACCCTCACCGGAGTACGCTTCACTTTAGAACAGGGTATAAGAAATTGGCTCGATTGTTTCTTGACCTCCAAGCCGGAGAAGTTCTTTTGGGATTGGATGCACAAACTGCCAGAAAGATGGGCAAACATCGTAGCTGCAGATGGGCAATACTTTGAACATTAAATGTATAACAATTTTTCACAATAAAGTCATAGATTTCGAAAAAAAAAACAGCACGAATTAATGCATACTCCCAATACAATCGGTTTTCAGCTTACTCTTCGTATTTGGTTTTGTTTGAAAATTTTATTATTTTTGATCAATACTGAGCCTCGCACGGCTGGAGGGATTTTATTTTCGACATCTTGGCAACATGATAGTGTAGCCAGACTTCTCATCTTTGCAACAAGACCGGTCATACGACCAGTTATACGGTCAGTACGTTAAGAACTGTGGACAAAGATATTATGATGCGAAACTCTCACAAATTGCAGATAAATGCGTTCCTCAATTGTTTTGTCTGTGCTGGTAACAAAGCAAAATGAAGTAACTTTGAACAGCTGATCGCTAAGAAGCTTTAGTATCACTTAGTCAATAATGAAACGCAACGTTTTTCGTCAGAAAAGCAATTTATTTGATCTGTAAACTTTCATTAAGCACAACAAACTTAAATTTAGAAGAAGAATTATTATATTTGCTGAAGCCAAATATTGCTGTAAATGTTTTGTGAGCAAGATTCGAGTCTTCCCACAATTGCGAAATACGAGCCTTCATATGCCATCTCGCTTGAAGGGGAAAACATTTTTTTGAAGCTTGTAATGAGTATAGAGTCTCCCCGCATCCGCATGTAATTTGAAATATTCATCAAAGGTGTTTGGATTATTTATTTTGTTATAACTTATAAACTATTACATCAAAACGTATGAAAAAGAAATAATAGTTTTCCAAATATTACCTCAGGAAGCAGCTTTTTGCTCTCCAATTTTCAATCAAATTAAACCACTATATTGCCTAGATTGTGGTAACCCTGCGACCTTGAGTTTTCCCTTTCCCTTCCCCCGTCATCCTTGTCCTCTCCATTGCCATGTTTTCCATCGCTCTAGCTTTTTTACTTCACCTGCTGTGCCGTGTTGTTCGTGGTGCTCGTCACCAAAATGGAAAAACGAAGTCAAGAGCAACGCGTCGCGATAAACGCGATCTTGAAAACGATGATTATTGACTTCTTTGATAGCCGTGGAATCGTCCACAAATGATTCCTTCCACCGGGCCAATCCCTAATCAAGTCTACTATCGCCAAGTACTCGAAAGATTGCGAAAACGAGCCAATAGGGTGCGCCCAGACATCGCTCTTAACTGGATCCTTCATCGCGACAACGCGCCGTGCCACACCGCCGTCAGCACGTCCAAGTATTTGACCTTTTAAGGCATAGCCGTGTTGCAACAATCGCTTTATTCGCTCGATATGTCATCCTGTGACTTTTGTGTCGATTGAGGACATCCAGGCGGCTGTGACGAGGGTACTCGCGGATATCCTAGTCGAAGTGTTCCAGAAATGTTACGAAGCATGGAAAACGTGCTGGAATCGTTGTAAAACTGCCCAAGGAATCATGTTTTTATGGAATCAGTTTCATTACTTAACTGTCACACCTCGTATCTATGGTCCAGACAATAAGCTAATCGAACTATGAATTCAAATTGTCCCCATACTAAGCACAACCGTCTGCAGTAGCCGAGTGGTTAGCAATGCCATTCGGAAGACCCGGGTTGAAATCCTCATAAGACCATCATCTATAAATTACAGAAAATGAATTTAAATACAAAATTAAGTTTTATTTTCTAAGCACGGTCGCCCCTCGGCAGGGAATGTCAACCCAATTGAAGGCTCCTCGTAAAAAACGTTCAGCCGCTTGGAGGCGGTTTAGTATAAACTGTAGGACCCTCCATTTGTTGGAAAAACATCAAGACGCAAAACCGAAAATCGATTCAGCGGCTGCAGAAAGCCAATAATTTTTTTTCGCGTTAATCTAGGCCAAAGAGATATCTCCGTACTAAATTTCATTTAGATTTAAAAGTAAATTTGATTTTTTCGAATGGATTGATGCCAAGCCCATTTTCCGAAAAACACTTTCTTGTGTTACGCGCAGTACACACTCATTAAGTGTTAGGTCTTTAGGATCAGTAGTTTAGGCTGCAGAATGATCTGTTCGTTATTCCGCACAAATCCTTTTATTTATATGTATATAAAATGGAAGATGGAAACTGAATATAAAATATCTGAAATCGAGAACACGCACCGTTGCGTTAGCAGTTTGACTCTTGATGATGATGAATTTACTGCGAAATTTCAGATTACCATATCCTTATCTCCGTACAAGTAAGTAAACGAGGACGTGGAGAAGTTAACGAAGGGGTTGCCGAGAAACTATTTCGAGGAAAGCATCGAAATTTGTTACCCCGCTTCATCACATGTATAAAGAGGAGTGGCGGCTCCGAAACATTACATTATGTACTAAAATATCACGTAATTTTCTGGCTTAAATAAAAATGTATTCCTCATTTTTCAAGCTTTGATTGCACTTAACATACGTTGCTGCGACATTTTTCACAGGGGTCATTTCGTACGCCTCAACGAACTTCTGGAACGGAACTACAATATCTCCCCTTCACGATATCAAAATCGTTTGGTGATTTCAAGGCCAGGTTTGGCATTTCAGTTGGGAAATTTAACTTCTGGGATAAAAAAACTGTTAAGGTACTGATGCTGATTGAATTTGCCGGAGCCGGAAGCAAAGTTATCGGTATTACCAGACTCCAACTTAAAAAATATGCTGTCTCCGGAAGGAAAGACACGCAACCAAGTAAACCATGTTTTGTTGGACAGAAGAATCAAGAACGCAACAACTGCCGTTTGGTGATAATGATATCATTCGTTTTGTTGAATTTGCTCTCCTCATGAAAAATCTGCCGACATCAAACAAGCTGTTAACTTCATCGCGTATTCACGTCCGTCGGCAATTATCACTTCAATCATCGAACCAATAACAATATCAAGCCTAAAATTTAACACAAAATCATTCTTGCCAACAGGCGCTACTTTAGACTAAGAAGTCGAGCGAAAATTAAAGTCTTCTCTCGATGAACACAGACGAACAAGCTCTAAAAGTCTCTCATCATTCCCGTCCCTCTGCACGGGCATGTATGGTGTTTATGCCAGGACGATTATAATATCCGATGAGTCGGTATAAGGAGTTTTCTAGATCAAGGTTTTGCGAAAGATTCAGTCTCTTAGAATAATAATAATAAATGATCACTTTGTATTCTCAAATCTTGTTGCTTTTTTGCTTGAAAAAGTTTTGTATGTTTGTGATTGAAAAGAAAATATATCTGTTGGTGAAAAAATAAAAGTCATTTTAGGCTTTCTAGGACTACTCTGTACTTAGTCTTTATTTCAGTTATACCTTAACACCGATTTTTTAGTTATTTTGATGTAATTTTTTTAAGCCTTAGCTATTAATTATGTCTGAAAAGTATATATAATTTTTGTAACATGAAAACTTGAACTGAAAGTTTCTACATTCAAATATAACTTTTCTCTTATTTTTTTAGCTCGGCGGCTGCAAATGCAACAGAACAATGAAATGCCTGTTGACAACATGGCCGCGAGTAGACTGGATATCAACCGAAAACATTCATTGTCAACAGTCGAAATTCCAGTTACTTACAACAACAAAAATAACAGCAACAAGTTGGTCAATGAATGCCAGTCGAAAGAATCATTCGGAATCCCATTGGTATGGTGGGCCACACAGACAATTGGATCTGAGCAAAATCAACAATTCAAAACAACACAAATCACCATCTCGCATTCCAACCAACCAACCGACAGTACCACAATGTCAAATGGGACGCACAGCAGGCAGGATGCCAAATCAGTTGCTCATTTCGCTTTTACTAGCGTTCCTGTTGATGTTACAAGCTGAAGTTGTTGTGGGAGCGTTAGCCGTGGCGGAAGCAGCGACAACAGCATCGACGTTAGCCACATCTGTCAATTTAAAAAGTATTATTCGCATCGGCGATGGCAATATCGTTACCAGAGTGAGTATTGCACTATTATATTTGAGGTTATGCATCCTATACATACGAGGGGAGGTCAATTGGTACGTGTATTGAGGCGAAAAAAGTTTTGAAAAAATCTTTTTCAACGCAAAAGGTCCAAAATCACTTCGATGTCTTTAGAAAATTTAATTTCTTAGGTTAAAAGTTGTTACATGGATTTTACGGTTTCAAAAAATTGTCAAAATTAGTTCTTCCACCATCTCGAGAATATTATCCGAAATTTTCAAGCCTGACCAAATATAAGTTATGGACAACCGACTTGGAAAAGTGCTCGCTTAAAGACAGCGCTTTTAAGGTTAATCTCGAAAATGAGTTTTCAAAGTCGGTTGCTGCAAGCTTTCGAATTTACTGAAGCAATCTTGATGAAATTTTGCACAGTTATTCGATATGCGATTCACAAGAAATTGGACGAGGGAATGGGGCTTGTGGTTCAAGTATTGTAAAAAAATTTTTGAGCAAAAACTTCTTTTTTTTATAAAAAATCCAAAAATCTAATCTTCACTACTTTTTTTAATTCTACCGATTTTTTGTTTCAACTCGAATGGTACTGTCATGAGTTCTACTATACGTTTTTTCCGTGACTTCATCGAAAATGACGTCACAATGGCGTAATTATGGAGATTTTCCTTTGAAAATTTCAGAAATTCTTTTTCAAATATATATCTTTAAAACAGTAAATAGTAATAATGAATAATTAATAAAGTATTAATTTTTTTATTTAAAATAGAGCAAATAGAGTTTTTTCACCCAAAAAAATTCCACGTCCGCTTAAAGTTGGGAAAACATAGAAATCCCTGAGGTCTGGTTTTTGAGAGTTGAAATTTCAGGGCGAGTATTCGCTTCAGCCCTGAGTTCAGCATACTCCTAGATTTGCCCTCGTACAACTATAAAATTTCGTACATATTTTCTTGGGTTATAATAACACTTAGTTAAAATGGATAAAAATTATAGTGAAATTGTATCAAAAAGGCTAACAATCGCAACAACACAAGGTCATTTGATAGCCAAACTGATATTCATTAAAAAATTCCATCATATGTGAATTATGATACTTGTCGTTACAGATGAATTTATTTTGATGATTTTCCTTATTTGGGTGTAAAAATTTAATTATAGCTTTTAATTATCAAAAGATTGCTGAAAATTCTTCGCATGCATATGTGAGTGAGGAAACACATACACACACAAACATACGAGTACATACATATGTACTATATTCGTTACAAATTAAAATCGTTTCATGTATAACAACATAAGTTAAGAGCTCTCTTGTTTGGCTCTTCCTTTTTGTCTCATTAGGAATGTTATTATTTTGGTACTCAATAAAAAAAATTTTCTGAAATCAATTAAGCAAAGTTGAAAAATATAATATAATATAATTGCTTGTTATTTAAGCCATATAAGAGTATGAATATTACTAGTTAGAGCATTAAAATTTTGACGGAATGAATTTGAAGGGCCTGTAGTTTATTTTAAATCACCTTCGAACCGTTGATGCGACTGACTACCATTTAAGAATTTCTTCTTTTTAGCTTACGGGATCTTAACCTGTTTAACAGCATCACGTCAAAAGTTTCTGCTTTGTTGAAAATACCAAGTTCAACCAAATGCTGCTCAACCTTATCTTTCCAAAAGAAAGAAGGTCTTCCTCTTTGTGTAAAGCTGCCATATTTCATCTGGGTAACATCACCTAGCCAACTAAGTCGTTGTCAACGATGGCTCATACAGCTCGCCGTTTCATTTTTTTCTTTACTGGTTTAGACACCAACGATTTCATACATAACGTTGCGCCATTCATTACTTTTTTCGCTCATTAGCGCCAAACGAAGATACCAAGTATAGCCAGGCCCTTATTTATATGATCTTTCCAACGGAGTGGAGGTCTTCCTCTGCGCCCACCGGCGCGTACTGCATCAAAAACTTTGAAAGCTGGAGTATTCTTATCCATCTGTAACACATGACCTAGTCAACTCGTAGAAGGCATAACTTCAACTCATCAGATGTTATCATCATCCATACTTTCGTACCATATAGCAGGACGGTAACGATGAGGGCCTTGTAGAGTTTGGCTTTTGTTCGTCGGGAGAGGGCTTTATTTTTCAATTACCTATTTAGTCCAGAGTAGTAACTGTTGGCTGGATTTCCAGGCTGACATTTTTGTTGGTGTTTATACTGGTTCCAAGATAGCGAAGTTAAATCTCAACTGATCCAGAAAAATAAGGAAATGATTGTCTTAAACTTTAATTTTTGTTCTTAAGTGGAATATAAAAATTCGATTAATAGTGCCAACGTTAACTTTTCTTAGCCTTTCACGTGTTAACTTAATGTTGCTCATACGACATGGCGAACCTCTTTATACATATTATATTTAACGTTAGCTTCTACGGGCTGGCTGTCACGCCATACATAGACCTACTGGTTCTTTTTAATACCAGATGGAGGGTCAATACAGTCGTCTTATAGATCGTCAATGCATTGCACGAAGTTTATAGGGTTCAACTATTGTGACAGCGAGAAAATGTGATTTTCAGAAACTTTGAGTGTCAAGGGTATATTTATCTATAAATACCGAAAAAAACTAATTTCCATTTTGGTGTCATCCTATCTGCCTTCAAGGTCAAGTCTTAAAGAGGATTGTATAAACTTTAAAATGACTCATGATTGAGTTAAAAAATTTAAATGCGAAAAAATTGCGTTGTCTTTAAAATAAGTTAAAGTTTAGTTTCAAAATGTGAGGGTATTTTCCAAAGCCAAATTTGTAATTTTTATCCAATCAAAATATCCGGCGGTCACTTGTGCCTGAAATACTTGGACTACTTCGAAACTATTACAGTAAAGCATCTGATGTGGAGGAGTATGTTTTTTTGAATATAAACTGTAGAAGAAAGGAAAAAAATCGATTTTATGAAAGTGTCACATTGGTTGAGCCTCTTTAGAGAGACTTCACATCTTACTTTGATACTCTCTTAGTTTTGATCTGTTATTAGGTTAGCCAAAAATCAAAAAGAAACCCTTTCTAGTCAGAAGATCTACTTGATTTTCTTAGATGCTCTTGCAAATGAGCTTGACGATCCTGCTGTCCAGCCTGATCTATCTGCCAGCCGTTTCTTTTTGTAATGTTGTTAGCGACTGGTGTATTTCCCGCACTGATTCAGTAGCCAGACGGATGGCAAATTTGGCAAACTCTTGAACTATTTCGTTTACCGGAATGCGCTTAAGGCTTGGAATTCAGTTTCCAGGGAACCATTTTCCACCAAACGCTACGTGTACCGACTCCCTGCTTCTAAGGACATTGTCGGTGAGATTAACAGTCGCTTGACTATTGGCGCATATATTGATCTTATGGGGGTAGTTATCTTAGCAACTTTTCTAACCGCTTACACTTCCATCTAGAAGATACTACAGTAATTTGGTTACTTGAAGGGTAACATTTACATCTGAGAAAGAAACGGCTTGCGGTTTAAGTTGGTTTAGGTTAGTATTCAACTAAATTTTGTTTAGTACCGAAACCGTAATTTTTAGATGAATTAACGGTTTTTGTAATCTAATCGATAATGAAGGATGTTAGGCCGCAACTGTCTAAAAATTTTGATTCATAGATAGGTAGTAGCTGAAAGAGAGCACCCTCTCTACTGAAGTCAAATATCGCGGAATAATCTTAGATAACAAACTCAACTGGAGCCGGATCATAGCAGTAGGGTTAAGGAAGGTTATAATTGCACTTCACTCTTCTAAAACAGCGATTGGAAAAAGATAGCGTCTAAGACCGAATTTCGTGTACTGAATTTAAACTGTGATGTCACCGTGCGAGTATGATGGCCGGTACTCGATAAAACTAATTTCGGGTGAAAATTAGAGAGAGTTCAATGGTTGACTGCTATCCTGGTAACAGGAATACTGCCAACAACTACCATAAATATCACTGCTAACTCTTCTTTCTCTGGACTTATATGGAAAATTACAAGCGAGTTTCTACGTAATTAAATTGAATGAAACTCAACCTTGGAAGAACTGTGGACCAGGCTTAAATTTTATCTCTTGCAGAAGTGCCGAAGGAGCTGGACTACGCGTCCTCCAGTATGCGCTTATTGACAATCATTTCTACACCAGAATTAAAAACAAAAATGAGTTACGATATATTCCGATATTCAAGCACCAAAGGTGACTATAAAATGTAGAAGCAAGCTGAATAAGCTCTCGACTTAGTACAATACTGCCGTGGTTTGGGAATTCGTACACCGTGACATCTCAGGCAATAGCATGACAGATGAACTAGCGAGTGAAGGAACCCTTCTATCCACATAAAACATGCGTATCGTATGGCAGGCTTACCTTTGATCACGGCAAAGTATATGCATAAGCTGGCCTTTGCCAAAGAAACAGACTCAAGTCTGAATGAGATACCGTGCAGTGTGACCAGAGAACGCGAAAAATCAAAACGTCTTCTAGACCAATTCTCCATTAACATAACGACAGGCATCATAATAGTCCTCTGCTTAATGGAGGTTTAGGGGAAAGAATTTGCTACCAATCTGAAGATACAAATTCCACAGGAAATACTTCTTCGATTGTTTCGCTGAGCTGGCCTCAGTTCCACTATTTGAGAAGGTGAAGACAGGAACCCCACAGCAGTATAATTATGGACCCATTGGGCCAAGTGCCAAATCCAATCAACTTAACTCAACTCTTTGAACAACCCTAATTTTCATTTGCCGCTTACATCTAAGTAAAAATCTATAAATACCTGTTACACATTTTACATATGTACGCAAATACATATGTATGTATGTACGAGTATATATTTATTCATGTGTTTACATACGTATATAAATGAAGGTACAATGTTTACCAACACTTATGTATTTATACATCGGTACTCATGTATGCACCTGCTATGTAAGTATGTAGAAATGTGCACGAAAGGATCAGGCAAAGGAAAATTGCAGGAGAGCGATTTCACTCACATCACACGCTTAGGCGAACACCAAAAATAAATTGAATCAGATACTGGCGCAAAAACTCTTAAATCATTGCAAAGTGAGTGAAAATTACCACAATATTGAAGCGAGTGAATGTTTGGCTTGCTGTTAAATGGTGGGTTTACTTTAATGTACTCATTTATTTGAATTTTTAATTTTTGTAACTAAACTGGAAATCACTAGGCTGACTTCCTATGCGGTGGCATATCGAGTTTTTACTTAATGGGTTTATCATCAAATTATGTTTCTCAGGTGACATGTAAATTGTTTTTCTGAGATTTTTTGTCTCTTTCTACTTCTTCTTAGGGATCTTGAGAAATTGAGATATTAGGTCAAGTAAAAATCATCCATTATTATTGCATTAAGTTGAAGGCTTTATTTACCACTGCTAAAATTATCCGACTTATTTCAAATATTTACCATTTTGCTTGATTGCTTTTGGCCATTTTAAAGGTAATATCGGTATGCCTCCCCCACAGAAACCCCTGTTCCTATTGATGAAAACTTAAGACAAACGATTTTCCCAGTCTGCTCTTGAAGCCGTTTTTCATCAGTCAAATCATTCGCCACAAACAGGAACAGAAGATAATCACTTGGTGCAAGGTATGCGCTATAAGGTGGAAGCATAAGATTCTCCTATTTACAATTAGTTTTCAGAGCTTTCAGCAAGTAATCATCGATGTGTGTGGTCTGGCATTGTCCTGATGAAATACAATTCCCCTTCTCTTGGCCAATGCAGGGCGCCTCTAGGTGATGGTCCAACTGCTGGCAGTAAGGTCTGAAATAAGAGTTTGGCCCTAGGAGAGCAGTTCATAGTGGCTAATAGAAAGATTTTCATCTTTTCTTGTGAAAAAGTCGGCTTCACTTCCTCGTCATATTTTTTACTTTTATTTATTTATTATTGTATTTTTCTTTCCAGGGAAGAATTGGTAGAAGGCAAGGTTATTAGTAATACAGAATATTAGATTTGCCCGTGACTTCGTCGCATGGAATTTTAAAATGGCTTCAATAAGACTTATTAGGATTATTATATTATTAATTTTATTATAACTTTATTTATATTATACGATGTGTGATATACATTTTAATCAAAGTCGAATCATCGAATTGATTCCAGGCCCACTTCTCGAAACAAAAAGTGTTCCCAATGGCATTTTGGCCCCAAACAACTAAAATATCAATAAGTTCAAATTTTTTGAATAGATCGGTCCCGGGTCCACTTCCCTGAAAATCCTTTTTTATCACATCTCCATGGTTCAAAGCAAAGGACAAAGCCGCTTTTGTACAAATACACTCGTATTTATAAATATATAGATATTCTCATCTATACTGATGGTTCGAACTCTTTGTTATATGGGTAACCGCTCTAACAGAGGAATTTAACAGATATCTTTTAGGCTCTCAAGTCAATTTAGAAATTATCACGGATTAACACAGTGAATGTGACAATATCACTTGGGTCCCAGGTCACACATATAAAAAGGGGGAAAAATGTAGACAAGCCGGCACGCGTTGCCGATGCTGTCACCATCGACTGCATTTTTGTAGCTGTACGGATGCCCATCCACTCCCAAGAAAATATCTCCAAAAGCTGAGTAAAGTAGAAATGGTAGAGTGTAGAGGTTGTACAGAGTAGAATAAAAATGCTGGAGCATCATCTTTGCAGAGCGAATATTCCGCAAAATCGAATTTTCCGCAAAAGCGAATTTTCCGCAAAAGTATAATTAGGATAAGCAGAAGATCCCATTAAGTTTATTTAATGGCTAAGGTATGATCGTCCGCAGTCAGATGTTTAACCTTCCCTTTAAACCAACCAACCATTTTTCTGCGAACTCATAAAAAGTTTTTAATGATTTTTATAAAACAGTTGTTAATTTAGCAATAAATTTGTTGTATTTTTACAGGATGCCATTGAGCAGTCCCTGGTAACTGTCCATGACATCGCCACCGAAAATTTGGGTACACTTTGTATATCAACGCTATATCGCCCTTTACAAGTGCCAATCAATTCAGAGCGTTATGAGAGCGCACGACAAAAAGCCGATCTGGTGGCCTCAATATTGCAGGAGGTGGGAATTGTGCGGCATGGTGGTAAGTAGTGCAATCTGCTGTCGTCTGCTACCAGATAACCAACACACATAGTCTCTCAGACTCTTGACTTAACACATGTATGAAAACTTTGCTACACCTCATTTATAGGACTCACCGATGCACTGGCGAAGGGCTTACTCAGTGACGAATCCACCACTGGTGCTAGGATTTTAGCATTAAATCTAACAAACGGCGCTGTGCAGTCGTACGTATGGTGGGTGAGAAATAATCACGAAAGGACTGGGGAACTGCAACGTTACGAGGAGGATGGCTTGCAGATTGGAAAGAAGCCGATAGCAAGTTATCCATGGTAATATAAAATTATTTAAATAATTTTTATAATTTATTGTTCTATTAATTTCGAAACATAAGTAATTCCTTTTGGGAGGAATCTTTGAAAAATATTATTTCTGTGTAGTTTTCAGTATCACTACATTTCAAAAGCTTTTCTACCCACACTGCAGGTTCGAGGATGAGAACACATCACCCACCTTACGTTCACCCAAATTTGCACCAAGCCCACCAAATATGTATTATAAGGGCTGGTGGACATTCCCCTACTTCTCTTGTACACTAAGTAAATGGATACTTTCATACAGTATCGCAATACCACCGAGTGGACGACACGGTTTACGTGGCTTCATCAGTATTGACATTGATGTGACCGGTCTGCGTGTTAATCAGTGTGAAGCGCCCATTTATCGTTTAAGTTATCAACAATTACAAACGCGACGACTACATCTCACCGATGCCCCGGCCGTTGAAACCATTTCAGATCTACAGGCGTTTCACGGTTCACACAAATGTCACCGCGATACCATGAAGGTGTGTGTGCGTTGCAAAAATTGCTTATGAAAATAAATAAAAAAAAGAAGATTTTAAGTGTATTTTAATGTGAGTGTAATATCGAAATATCTTTGCAGTGCGACTATCGCCTTCCTCTTACGGAGACGCCGACAATAACCACCAATAAAATACTCACCACACCAAATAGTTGGTCACGTGGCGCATACCAGTGCCTTTGTCGGCGCGGTTTTTATTCGATGCGACATCCGGATGGTTTCAATGGTACTATTATGGAAATCGCTTGGAAGGAGCATCAAGAAAATGTAAGCAATTATTATGCGGATGTCTTCACTTGTCTACCGTGTGCGCCCGGCTGTGATTATTGTACCGGCCCGGAACCTTGTTTGGCTAACTATAATTGGCCTTTTAGGTGAGTTTATATTTAAAAGTGTATAATTTTCGAAGTTAATACTCAAATCGAATTTTTCTCTTTAGAATATCGCTTCTCGTTATATCAATAGGCTGCGCCGTCGGCACATTTGTGTTGGCCGGTTATCTTTTCCATCATCGCAAAGTGAAAGTTTTCAAAGTGGCCAGTCCAATATTCTTAATGATAACATTAATTGGATGTGCAATTATGTATCTGGAAGTAAGTAATTGAAATGCCTTGAAATATACAGTATTAATTGGATAGGTTAGGTTAAAGCAGCCGGCTGTTGTGCCTTACATAGACCAGTTGCACCTTGGCATTTTCAGAGGGGAATCAATTTTTTTTGCGATCTGAAGTAGTGGCCAACGCTTTTCGCGAGGTTCAAGCTTTATTCTTTATGCTATTTATCCTATTTTGAATTGCATATGGGGAAAGAAAAAGCTCTGCTGGCGAATACAATAACAGAGAAAGCTTCAAATATGCAGTTGTTCCTTTCTTAATGTGTTTTCAAACATTTTGAAGTTGTTACTCCGTTGAAAAGTTGAGACTTCACTTAGTGAAGTGGCAAGATGCCAGCTGTGGCTCTTCGATTGTTGATAGAAAATATCGATAACCATCAAAGATAAAACTAAACGTCCTTGTGCATAATTCAGCTGATACGAATCAACCAAAAATGCCAAACACGAAAAATCAGTTAATCTAACAACCAACTGAAGGACCATCAGAGTAATGAAATTTCAATATATTCATCCTAGAATACCACGTCAAAATGAGTTTTATTTTGAAGTTAATTTAGTTGGTTTTTTTAGATAAAAAAGATCTGCTCAACAGCTCACTTAGTAGCGCTTTATAGCCATTGATTAGGTTTCCGGCAGAGTTCCTCCTACTTGTGGACAGCATCTTGAGGTTTTCACCTCATACACTTTAGCTAATGCCAGCGGGGGATCTAAGAAAGAGATCCATGAGCTAAGAATCTCTGAAGCAAGCATTCAGAATTACAAGGAGCGGCTGATAAGTTCGCGATCTAAGGTGTAGCTCGAGGTATAAATAACAAAACTTTTTTTTTAAAAGGAAGGAGGCATTTTTAAAAGGATGTCATCGGTTCTTCAAAACTCTGCTCCTTCATATACGATGCTGATGGCTCGAATGTTTTAAAAATGAGTGGAGAACTGTGAAAATGATGAAAATGAAAAATGAAAAATTAGTATTGACTGAGCAAAAAATTAAACTGTGTCCGATAGCAGAAGAATTACATATTAGCAAAAGGAACAAAAACCAGTGCGTGTTGGGTCCTGTGAGTGCTCAAGCCGATCGACAAGTAACGACGGGTTGAGAGGAATGCCGGCAGAAATTAACCATTTACCCTGCAGTCCAGTCCTGGCTCCCAGTGATTTTTTTCCTTTTTTGTTCAAATTATTAAAGGAGTTACGGGCACGAAGATTTTGAGACGGCAGTGAGATGAAAGCGGCCATAGAAAACCACTTTGAAGAGAAATCTAAAGAACTATATTTCAGTGGTGTAAAGGCTTTGCGTTTCACTTGAGGGAGACTAAATTGAAAAAAAAAAAAAAAAATATGAAAAACATTGCTTCATTAAGTACTTTAGGCCGCCCCTCATATATAGGAATATAAGTGGTGCTTTGTAACCGCTGAAGCTATCTTTGGCCGAACTTGAGTTTTTATGTTTTTCAAAGGAATGGAGGAACCTACAGTTTATTTTGAGCTGCCTCCGAACGGCAGATGGATTTTTGGAAATTTTTCATATTTAGTCAAACCAGGACTCGAACATTGACCTTCCGCAGTGCTAACCACTCGGATATTGCGGTACTCGGCGTTCTTGAAGAAGTAGTCAAGATATTTGGTTTGCTTTTAGAGTATGGTATAATGTTTAGGATGATTTAATTGTGATATTTTTTTTATAAAAATATTTGTAACCTATTTATTTTCAAAAAATTATTTTTTTTCAGATGGTGGCAATTTTTCCATATTTAGACATGACTTGGTGCATCGTAACGAAGTGGACCCGGCATATGGGCTTCTGTATTACTTATACATCTTTACTGATGAAAACGTGGAGGTAATTCAAAACTAAGCGTAGAAACATACAGTAGTCGTAAAATAGTCCAAATACCATTTTGTGAACATTTTCTGTGTCTCTATTATCCCAAAAGGTAACCCAAGTGAGTAACTTACTTTCAGCTTCGTTGTTGTTTTCGATAGACTACTTGGTATTATCATGGAAATTTGCATAATATTATTAATTTTACTTCAAGACCTACAAAAATTTTGATTAGAAGGAAGTAAGAAAACCCTGAGGACGAAAAATTAAGCTCCGAACTGCCAGTTAATTAAATTCAAATGTCGATTTAACCGTCTTACAATTAAAATCTGAATATAACAATCTTAATTCGGCACTTACGCTATTGTAACTAAGAAAAGTGGAACCTTTGTGAAGCCACTTCAATATATGCGGTTTAAGAGCTCGCTGAATTCAAATTGAACCAACATCAATGAAAAATATAACCAAGCCTCGGTTGGTCATGACACTCTTTTTTCTTTTATTGGTGTAGACACCGCTTATATTCACGATTCGCCGCCAATTGGCGCAACCAATTGAAGCAAGACCTTTTTCACCTGACCTTTTCAACAAAACTGAGGTCTTCGTCTGGGGCGGTCATTGCGTAAAACCTTCGAAATTGAAGTGTTGTCACCCATGGGGATAACACGATGTATCCAGCGCAGCGCCTGAATTATGTCAATAGCGCCGTAAATCTCTTACAGTTCATACATCAGATGTCGCCACCGTCCAAGTTTCTGTACCACATAGCAGAACGGGAATGATGGGCGACTTATAGAGTTTAGTCTTTATTCGTTGGGAGAAGTCTTTACTTTCCAATGCCTGCTCATGTTAAGTAGTAAAATGCCTTGAAATCTAGCGCAGAATCAAGGCTGATATTATTATTGGTGTTTATCTTCTTCTTCTTTATTAGCGTTGACACTTACGCGATTATAGCCGAATTAATTGTAACGCGCGATTCATCTCTTTTTTGCGCTGTTTGGTGCCAGCTGGAAATACCAATTGAGGCCAGGTCGCTCTCCACGGGGTCCTTCCAAAGCAGTGGTGGTCTTCCTCTTGCTCTGCTTCTAACAGCGGCTACTGTATACTTTCAAAGCTGGAGTTCTTTCATCCATTTGCACGACATGACTTCGCTGCTCTTCATTCGTTGATCTATCCCATCGTATAATTCGTAAAGCTCTTCATCACATATCATACGAGTAAATCGTTCGCAAAACATCTCTCTAGAAGACTCCCAAAGCTGACTCATCAGATGAGCGAATTACAGAGTTTGCTTTTTGTTCTTTGCGAGAGGTCTTTACATTTCAATTGCTTACTCAGTCCAAAGTAGTTACTATTGATTCAATTTTGTCTGACTGAGGTTGTCCAGCGTCAGCTTACACAGGCGTATACGTTTTGCGGGGATACCAAGTTCAGAAGTCGAAGGCTGCTTTAAACTCGACGAAGAGGTGGTGTGTGTTGATCCTCTCATCACGGGTCTTTTCCAAGATTCGGCACATGGTGAATATCTGGTCAACGGTTGCCTTACCAGGTCTAAAGTCACACTAATAAGGTCCAATCAGTTTTTGACGGTGGGCTTTAGCCTTTCAATAGCTCTGCTTGTAGGCCATCAGCCCCAGCCGCTTTGCTGTTTTTTAGCGAGTAATCGGTATTCTATATCTACTAGATCGCCTCTCTGGGTCCTACAAGAGTTTGTTCCGGTCTTGAAATCTTCCGTAAGTCGCCGTATCTTTTCGAAGAATACCAAGTGCGTATCTTGGCTGCAACAAGATAAAGATCCGATGTTGGGTCCTCGAAGTGTGCGCACATCAGCAACACTGGAGACATGTCTTCCGTCTATCACAACATGATCGATCTGGTTTTACGTTTTTCGATCAAGGGATAGCCAAGTAGCTTGCCCACCCTGGCGTTGAAGTCGGCAAGCACAATTTTGACATCGTGGCATGGCGTTCGTAAAAGCCATTCTTGGTCGCTTCGTCCTTCTCTTCCGTCGGGGCATGGTCGCAAATCAACGATGTGTTAAAGAATTTCAAATCGTAATCCTTAGAACATTTGCGGGGTCTCTCACCCATGGCATAATATAACTTTTCATTGGAGTTTATTATTTATGTGGTGGATGCCAATCCCTACGCACAACCGCAAGGGATTCGCCTTCTCAATTTAGCTCGCCTCCAAACGGATGTTTGATGGCTACCCAGGGCTTACTTGGTCTAAGACGGGAAGTCGGGAGCTGCTTGAACCATATCCTCTAGAAGTCGTTCGAAGTGTATAAGAGATTTCTTTTTTTGTATAAAAATATTCGAATCTCTTTCTGGATTTCCTTACCGGCAATAATTAAAAAAAATCAATTTCACTTTCCACAGAGTCTCACTCACGTATCGTGTTAAATCAGCACATAAAGTCAAACTCACCGATCAGCAACTGTTGCAATGGATGGTGCCGATTTTACTAGTGATGCTAATTTACTTGGGCACATGGACCATTTCAGCGACACCGTATGCCGAAGTGGTAGGTTAAGTAATTGCATTGTTTTTAAATTTTTCTTTATATGGAATTACTTAAATGTTAATTGAATATAAATAAATTAAAACAAAATTTAATTTTTCAACAGATATTCGATCAGAGCAGTTTGAAATTCAAACAATGTTCATACAATTGGTGGGACCATAGTCTAGCCATTGGCGAGGTCCTCTTCTTGGCATGGGGCATACGCGTTTGTTATAACGTGCGCAACGCTGAATCATTATACAATGAAGCGCGTCTCATTTCGTATGCGATTTATAATATTGCCATTGTGAATATAACTATGGTGGCGTTCCAGTGAGTATACTGAGCTTTTCACTTTTTATCAATTGGTTTGTATATGTAATTTTTTTTTGTGTGCTTTGCAGTCTCTTCATATTCCCCCGAGCAGGTCCGGATATCAAATATCTACTGGGTTTTGTACGTACGCAATTTTCTACGACAACAACAATTGCGCTTGTATTTGGCCCTAAAATTTCACGTGTACTGAAAGGACATGGTGATAAATGGGATCAGAAGGCGAAAGTACGCAGTATAACTGCATCATTCTCATTGAATGGAGTTGGTCTGGTGCCAGAAGAGTCACCTGATTTGTATCAGGAAAATGAAGAATTGAAGGTTGGCTTGATATTGAAATATAAATATTTTATTTTTGAAAAACGATTGTAATATGGGGATTGAAATGAAATGTTTGATAAGATACAGATGTTCATATTCACAAGGATCGAGTTACTGACAGGCAGTCGCAGAGAGCCAGAGTGAGAGTGGAACTAAATGTTCATCTGTCTTCTTTTAACAACATTCTGTTTTCCGCTAACGAGCTTTCCTTTTCCCTCTAAGGAGGGTGTCCTTTTAGAACAGGATGTAAAAATAGACAGGCCAGTTCCACGCCGCAGAGTAGGGACTCTAACGCAAGTAAGTAATCCTGCTTCGCCAGGGTAACGGACCTTAGGAAGGAGCTAAGAGCTGCAGAATCGCAAAAATTTGTGTCAAGTTTACGATGTCGAATTTACAAAGTTTTTACCAGCGGTAAGGAGGGCGGATTCCAGGCTGCTGGTTGGACTGTTCACATGGCCTGGAATTGGTGTTGCATGCCGTCAATATAGGTCCGACGGAGGACAACAAGTACGAAAAAAGTAGGTAATTTGAAGACAGTGGAGCATGATTACATAATCAGTGAGCGTCCAATTTTCGGCAGACAAAGTCTATGCTTTCCTGGCGCTAAAAGTCTGCAGGAGCCTCAATCGGCAACGGACAAGAGGCCAAAAGATACAATAAATATTGTTGTGCTACAGCAGTGGCTGTAAAGTAGTGTCTGGCATTTGAGTCCAGCTTGGGCAGCCAGTTCAAACTAAAACTAACCTAATATTCCTTTTACTTTTAAATTCTCACCTACACTTAAAATATCGTCTAGTGGATGATATGACGGGAGACCGAGTAGCACTTACTGTATGTGAAGCGATGGAGCTCTTTCCTGATAGCTCATTGGTTTCGAGCTCACACCGCGGCTTTGTTCCACAACAATACATGCATAAGTAGGTCAAGACATTTTACTCTGAAACGCATGGTGAAGAGTCATCTATTTTTAAAATGGATATTTAAATTGGATTTTTTTTTTATTTTGCGATCTTTAAAAAACACAAATATTTCCGTCTTATTTTCTTTTCTTTTTTTGCCTTACAGGAACAAATCCAGAAATTGGCCCATCAAATAGAGTTCATGAAGACTGTGCATATGCAAATGAATAATCGGCATTTAAAACCAAAACCTGGTGGCTATTTCACGATAACATCGACTTCTTTGCAGGCGCCGTTCAGTAAAAATACGATGTCATCCGCCCAAACACAAACCTCCAAAGGCGCCAATGAGGACACACTTGGTGGCAACAAGACTTTGGGGTAAAATGTGAAATTTCCCAACCAAAATTTCTGTATTATTTAGTTCTTGGTCTGATTGCAGCTTCCCCACCCATTTAACACCGTCAAAAGCTAGACAGCAGAAGGAGAAAGTTTGACGAGGTGAACGAAGTGTAAAAGATTGCTCAACTGAATTTAATTTACAACATTCAATAAGTAATCATAGCGGTGAGAATTCACCAAAATCAACACCTACCACCACCACCACCACATACCCACCGCCTCCACTCGGCCAGGCTGAAGAGGATCTACTCAAACAATTTGCATTCCTCTTTTGTCCCGACACAGATGTCAATGCATATTACACACTATACTCAGATATTGATGGTGATGATGAAGAGGACGATGATGATAATGATAGTTCGATAGCGAATATATGCATCGAGCAGACGATAGCAGAAATTAATCATTCAAAATCGCCTTCGATTACATCATCACAAGCAACATTGTCGAAAAGTGTTAGCAGTTCAATGACTGTGCCACCAGAATCGCCACAGTATCCAGTTAACGAGCCACATCCATTCTGTTTACCCACATCATCGACATCCACCTCATCCATGTACGCCATACGCACACCATCGCCGATAAGATTTCGTCTCTTGGAGTCACCATGCTCCGAAATCGAGTGCAATACAATTACCGAATTGGTCGAGATACATTGCCCGCCGACAATACCATACGATATAACGGCAAACGTGCAACATTTATCGATTGATGGTCAAAGTGATGTTGGATTGAATGGCATAGATGATGCTCTGAGCCAGAATACTGCTAATAATAATAATAACAATAATAATAATAATAATAATACATCCTGTTCAATGTCCTCCACTTTAACGGATAGCAAAACTGTTGATGTGCGTACACCGATAGTAGTTTAGACTTGAGTTAATAATACAAGTAATGCATATTTAGAAAACAAATACAAGTAATGCGTATTTAGAATATTATCTGTTTGAAGGCTTGTAATTGTTGTAGTATTGATGTTAAATTGAAATTTAGTTCGAAATAGCTTTGAGGTTTTCACAGAGTAACAGAAATGATGCATCCATACATAACCTTAAAAATTGGTTAGTTTAGCTTAATTTAAAGAAAAAAGGTACAGCTGATCGAGTTATTGAATGAATAGGGCCGACCTTGTGTTTATGACGAATACTGGCGCTAAGGTACAGCAAATAATGACTACTGCGGAAACAAAAATTTAGTATAACGGTTAAAACTATGTACACTAAAAACTAAACCTGTTTCAAACATATTTGCTTTAAATAACTAAATTATCAATATCTATGTAACGGAAATGCTTGTAACAGAGGCTTTTTAATTTTGATAATATCACACCGTTGAGTTAATTTTTGAGAAAAAAACACAGAAAATTCAATTTTAATGGGGAATGTTTATTATCAGATTTATATTTAGACTACATATCCCCACTAGGTCTAACGGTGTGATATTATACATTCTTTGTGGACAATCGACTGGTCCAAAATGTGAAGTTATCTGCTCAACGAAGTTTACTCTCAATAGATCCAATGATTGATGCGACAAACAACTGATCGTATAGACTTGAAACTAGGAAGTTGTGTTATGCGTATGACGTGTACACCCAATAAGAGAGAATTTTCTGGCAAGTGGACCTAAGCCCGATTTATACGAAAAATTTGTTTTTATTGTCTGATTTATAAAGAATTGGATACAGCAGTAGCTTTAGGTTCAATTTACCATTGAGAACACTTTTCCTTCCGGGAAGGGATCCCTGGACTTACCTATTCGAAACATTTTTATTATTCGCTTTAGGGGTAGATCAGGGGTATCTTTAGGCCAAAAGTTATATGGGAAGCGCGCCTGAATGTAGGTTGCCTTTTGCCAAGATCACTACGACGAGAACTTTTCTTTCTGGATGTGAGCAAGGGGTCGCTCAGTTTGGAAAAAACGTATTCATAATTCGATTTGCATGATATCTGGAACATTGGAACATAGATAGCTCTAAGCTCTATGTCTAGACTAATATGAAGAAAACTTTTATTTCTTTTTCACATATTAAATTATGTTAGTTTATAAAGACGCAACGTCTAATAAGAAACCTAATGAAACAATTTCAGAATTCCATGCGGAGGAAGTCGCGGACAACCTCTAGTACAATATACATGATAAAACTGATTGGAATTCATTTCGTTTTTGATTATTTTATGTTAAGTTAATGGAGTAATTTTTTTTACTTATGGTTTTATTTTAGAAAATAAATATTCTTGCGCTGATTTCAATGAATCAAGGTGATATTAATTTCATACCTGCAATTCAAAGGCAGTTAAACGGCTTAATCGCTATTCGACAGGACAATTTTGTTCGGTGAAATATTTTTTTTGTAAAATGAATAATAGTTAAGTCAGCAAAAAAAATTATTTTCGTTATATTCTTATTTTAAATATATGTATGTACATATATATAATTCCCAAAAAAAAAAATATAATAATATAATAATATAACAAACGAGTTTATGAATGTGTATTAAGCGTAAATCGAATATTTTTTTCACAAATAGTAGAAAATAACTTGGAAAATGTATGGATGCATCATACTTTGTACAAAAAACGTAATTTATTTAATATTAATTGTCGTATATAACAATTTTCTATATTTATGTATATATTTTTGCTATTTTTTTTTAATTAATTACCTCAATTTTCTTTTACCAATACTTACAAACCCAACCAATAAAATATAATTTATTTTTATAATTTCAATTGAATTACAAAAAAAAAATTGCAATTTATTGCGGGTTAGAGATGTGAAGTTGGGCGATTTTTTCACTTCGTGAAAATACAAATTAATGGGATAGAAAAATGTTAGAAAATTGTTAATTCTTTAATGAAATTGTAAAGCACAGCATGTAGAGTAAGCTAGTTTGAAAACTGAACTTCATTAGTACGAAAGTTTTTTTTCATTATTTATTATACATATATACATACAAAAACAATTTATCAATATTAATCTTATCTCAAATACTGCACTTTATACAATTTTTTCCTTCATTATATAAAGCAAAACAATATTTTCAATTTATCTTTGCATATTTCATAAAAAATGGTATGAGTAAAACCGAACGGTAGGTTAGATAAGTAAGTAATGTATGTATGTATGCCTAAAGGAAAACAAAAAAATGTTGGTAAATGTAAGCATTTGATGTACAATACTCTTTGACCAATAAATTCGAAAGAAATGAAAAATAAAATGTTAACAAATTCTGTGAAAAATTCACAAAAAAAAAACTAATACTTTTAATTAATTGATTGCTGGTACCGCATTATAGGTAGAAAAAAGTTTAAACACAGTTTCACTACTCCCTGCTCCATGTATTTATCGATTTTTACCAAAGAATATTGTTTCAAATTTATTTATTTTTAATTTTTTTTATTTCACTTTTAAAAATTTTATACGTGCCTGACGTTTTCTTGAGAAAAGAAGAAAAAGAGCAATATATTTGTTTGCATACGATTAACGCTGAAAAGGAGACTGTTAGTTTAATTTATAAAATGGTAAGTAACGGAAATGCTTGTAAATTAAACACAAAAAAATCGTTAGATATTCTGATAGACACAGGAACTAGAAATTTTGGATGAAGAATTTCGATGTTACATGCGTGTAGCGCGCTCTCTCGAAAGCACCCTAAAGCGACCTAAAGGTATGACTACTAAAATGTGTTTTGATTATAAATGCCGTTATTTACTTCTCTGTGCAGATCGCGAATTTTGTACGCAATTGTTGAAAAACTGTGAGCGTCTTAATAGTTCCGATAATGTCATGATTAAGATGAATACCAATGTTTTCATGAGATATCTTTTGAAGGTCATTAATTGGACAAGTGTGCATCAACCGTTGCAGTTATACGATAAATGGGTATATACATTTGGGTATTTAAATTTTTGTAATTCAATACTAAATAAATTGTTTTCCGCATAGTACCAAGGCTCAAAAACTGAAGTTAAAATGTGGCTGCAGGATAACAAGTCGTATATGGCTGTTAAGGAAATGCCCAACGGTTCCCTCGCTATATATTGTGCAGTTTCAAATTCACCTGAGGCCGGTTGGCAAGATGGTGCATTAAAAGTTATGAGAGATTCAAAAGGTCCCGAAGTAGAAGAAATATAAATTTATGTTGTACTAATCGTTGTCTCTTTTATTGTGTGCATATTTATGTATGTATATGTATAAAAATTTTGTACGTGGTAAATACATTTTTACATTTCAAACTTAATTAGGAGAAATATGATTACTTTAAGGCACTTACATTAAAGAATTACATAGTACGCCCAATTTTTAATTAGACATATCATCATACATATGTATGGACGGAATGTTATTCGAGTTTATCGATTCTTTGATTTTTCGCTTTTCGGTTAATTTAAAAATTTATTTTTGGTCAGTGCGATAATCGCAATGACGGCAAAGGCCAATGTCGTATTTGATAAGCTTGTACTTGGTGCGCCATTACAGCTGTCATTGGAGCAATAGCATTCTTCCCAGTAGACGCCATTTTCATAAACGCCCCAGTTACAAACTCCAGTCACACCAGTTTCGGAGACCGATGCACAGCGACGAATAACTTGACGCCAACGTCCGTCCCCTAAATAAAAAGATTTGCTTTTGCGTTTACTTATAAAAAATGTTTTTTTTTTAGTATATTCTTACAAATGAATCCTCTGGGTCCTTGTTGTACGACTTTCATACAAAACGATCCGGGCATATGTGATTCATCGGTGTTGCATTCAATTGGAATATGTTCTGTACGATTAAAGGGTTTGTAAGCACCACAACTGTCGTAACCCTTTCGATCTTGATCGGAGGAGCATTGATAGCATCGTATGCCAAGTGAACCTTTGAAAATTAGAAAAATGTTGTTGTTTGTATAAACATATGTCTTTTTGTTGAGAAACAAATGTTTAAGCCACACCCAAGGCTTAATGACTGCCGTGAGGCATTAATCATTTAAATAACATACCAACAACACAGAGTGATAATATTAATACAGTGATATTGGCAATTTTATTCATTATAATCAATTATTTTAATAATAATCTTTAAAAAACAATTTAAAATCGTATACAAAATATAAACAAATTCTGATGAGAGCAAAAATGCGTCAAAAACAATTTTGACACCTGCTCTACACAGAGTTACACAGATGCCTAAGAAATAGCATGTTTTGATTCTCACTGAGGCTGCCAGATCAAATTTTATTGAGATTAAAGAGCTAAAAAATGTGCATCAACACAGAACGCTAACCTTATATCAAAGAAGGTATATGAATTCATGTACGTTCTATTGAACTAGGAATGGTGTGAAAAGAACCCAGACTCCTCAGATTGACTCTTCAATTTAAGCTCTTTCTGAAAAAGCGAACTTACAAGACCGTCATGCCGTTTCTTATTCATATACTTTCTTGGGTTATGTGACTTGAGTACGCGTTTTTTCTTCATATGCGTTTTCGCATTAAATGGAGGCGAACTTACGGGCATATTCCTTCTTATATATACTGCCCTGTTTTCTTTAAACATTTAAAAGAATCATTTTTTCAGCTCTTGAAAAATTTGCTGAACTTAAAATTGTTTAGTCTGTACAAATAGCTTTTTCGGGATCTCAGTCAACTGCAGAAATCTGGCAGTACTTTCCAATTGTCAAATTTTAATCAACAAGCCTCAATGTATTTTGGGTGGGGACGCTTGCATTAACATTTTGTTTGTTTGTAGTAAAATTATATTAACAAATTGGTAAAACTTGATTTAAATTGACAGAATGTCTTATTTAAAAACTTCCATATTTTGTGCACTAGTCCTATGCTGCTTATTACAAACAGGTGAGCCATGCAAAAGTGCTAGAATTTTAACCAAATGACGCACCCATTCACATCAACTCATTTTAGGTTGTGCTATTAAATGTTGGGACTGCCGCTCTGACAACGATCCAAAATGTGGAAATCCATTCGATAATAGTTCTCTAGTTATTACTGATTGCGCACAAGAGCCCGAGCTGGAGCATCTGCCAGGCGTGCGACCTACAATGTGCCGAAAGATACGACAAAAAATGCATGGTGAATGGCGATATTTTCGCAGTTGTGCCTATATGGGAGAGCCCGGTATTGAAGGCGATGAACGCTATTGTTTAATGCGTACAGGAAGCTATAATATATTTATGGAATATTGTACTTGTAATAGTAAAGATGGCTGTAATGTTGCCAGTCTGCTAAGTGGAAACAAATTTGCAATATTACTCAGTACAACAGTGATAGGCATAATTGCCTGGACACTGCGTCTTTAATACAAAACTATTTTACATATCATCTTTCTGTAAAATGTGCCTTTAATGAGTGATTCATTGCTCGAATACATACATACATACATCTGGAACTTAGTACAATTAAGAACTCTTAAGACAAATACTTAACACTTTAACTATTCCGTCCAAATCGAAATATAGATTTAAATTTTTTTAAATTAAATATGCACTAAGCATTAAGAAAAGTTGCATACGAAAGCGCTGTCGAAACTTTGACATTTCTTATACAAATGTTAGCATTCCATTTTTGTATTCAATAAAACCAAAGTCAATTTTTATGTATTGACAATTTAACAATGCAAAAGTTTTATTTTACTACTTAAGGATTTTTATTTTCTCTGGGTCAACTAAATTTCACTATAGCAAATGTTTGGTTGTAAAAGCCAATAGCTATGAGCGGATTAAGAATATTATTAAAAAATTTGAATACAGAAAAGGCGATATATCCAATTATATAGGTACTTATTTTTAAAATTATACTTACTTAATTCAACACTATTCAATGCTCCTTTTTAAACAAATTAAGGCGTTTATTTTGTTAAGATTTCAGTTTAATTTATATTTGGAAACGGAGGGAATTATTTACAAGTAACATATTTCAATTTAATTTTGATACCATATCGAATCAGTATTTAAAAGCTTCACAAACTACATTTAAAAATGATAGAAATGTATGTATATGTGTATGTACATGTACAATAATATATGACAAAATATTTTTTTCTCTACTAATATTAAATGGAATTAAATTTATAATACAAATTGCATAGTGACAATGCTAAGGAGCACAGCCATGCCAATTGCCATGAAGCGTCCAGCTGAAGATGCATTACACAAATCACCCTTGCATATGTGACAGCTTTGTACCTCCCGGCTGTGTGTTACGGTGCAAACATCTGCTTTCTGACCCACAACCTCAAAGTGACAGTCACGTGAAACTATTATGCCAGCCTTGTCTGAAATATCGAACGAGAAAAAATTATGAAAAGGAAAATTATTCTTTTACAAAGATGTGAAGTTTTTAAAATAAATAACGAAATTAGTTGACAAAATGAGTTAAGCGGTATAAATTTTGAATTTCCTATTTAAATTCATCATTCTAAATATTTTAAGATTTTTGGTTCAGTTTTAATTAAAGAACACCACCTGCATATTATTATGCTAATTATGACTAATCCTTAGAAAATGTATTAGATTTGAATAAAAGAAATAAACAAATTCGTTATACTTCGGTCTATCCATGTATATATACAAATTAAAAATGAAAATATAAAACTGTTGCACTCGTCCAAATGTGTAGAAATATTCAAATTTAATGGCCATATGGGATCTAAATTCCAGCGTCGTCGATATTTAAATATCATTGGGGGAAAAATTCTACGAGTATTTGAATTAAGTTTCAAATAAAAATAAAAAATAATATCTTTTACGGTTTTATTTATTTTATATTAAAATATTTCTATAATTTTCATTGCCAAACGATACTTACCGCTTGTCACCACCTTATTGCACTTGGTAACGGGCATTATTTGCTCCATTGAATTTGGTTTTGGCACCAAATCACAATCCACCGAGTGGATATTCGAGGTCGCATCAATGACATCCTTAGCGCAATTGGCATCGGTTAAAGATTTACATTGATAGCACTTGATAGCATGTCCTGAGGATAAGAATATATGAAAAAAATATTACAAATAAATAAATAAAATAATAACAGTAGCTGAAAAATTCATTAAAAACATCCATTAGAAAAACCACTTATATTACTATTTTCTTATGAGAAGTTTACGGCATAATAAAAATGAACTTTAAGCCCGGTTTTAAGTTAGACGAACTGAGATGAGATTTTAATACCAGTTTCAAATTCAATTATATATTCCTACCTACATTTAAGATGTACATATGTATGTACATACTTGCTAAATGTACTAATTGCGTCTAAGCTTTGACGTTAAAGAAAATCAAACTCAGAAATGACGCCGTTATTTCGCTTTGATTGTCTACACAAACCAGTTTTTTTTTATTGTGTGTTGTAATTTCAGCAGACAGTGGCAGAGCAAAGGCGGATTCCTAATACAAAGTTTACATATTTGCATATTTATATACTTAATGTAATGTAATGTATATAACATGTTACATATAACGCCCAAATTGCGATCACATGAGTTTTTTGTATTTAAACTGGAAAGTTGTAAACCTCAAGTTTCTTTTGAAAGCCTACAATAATTAGCATTGAAATGGAAAAAATAAAATAAAATAAACAAAAGTAACAAAAAACTATATGATGACAAAATTTCTATTTATACTGAAGTAATGCGCTCGGCTGAGCTACATATGTACATGTATATGTATGTACATACATAAGTAAACAAGTGCGTTTCGCAAAGCAGCTGTGTGTGTATGTTGTTGTGGGTTCAATACTATAATTTTGAGCATTAAATAAAAAATCAGAAAAAAAACCGAAAATAATATTTTTTCTTAAATCCTTTAAGCACATGCTTGGAAGCTTAAAAACCATCTGCTAAACTGATGGTGACAAGAAATATGAAATGTATATTTTTTTTTATTTTAGACATTTTCAAAGCGGATTAGATTTTATTATAGTTATTACACTGATTTTTGTTACTAATATGCAACTTTTCACTTTCTTATTTAGTATATACGTATGTACACATATAAATATGCATAATATTTAAATTTTTGAATTTTCACTCGCTTACCGCTAGGCAGTAGGCAAGCAGCAAATAAGATAAGCGCAATGAATTGTTTCATTTTATTAATTTTAATAGTATTCACTTTTTTTAACTTTTAATTTTTATTAGTTTTGCAAAAGCAATATATTTATATACAATAAATGTTTTATCCAAAAGGTGTACACGCTCAGCCAGTTCGATTTAAACTGACAGAAATTGTTGCTGGCGATCGGCACGAAGCACGAATATTGTTGTGTGTCTTTAAACAATAAATGCTTTCACATAGATACAAACATACATATTAAATGTACATATATATATATATATATGTATGTGTTGGTATGTATGCGCGCTTTTTATTTATTTATTTGTTTTATGCATTTACGATTTTTGTTTCTATTTTTTTTTAAATAAATGCTGGAAAATTAGACAGCGTTTCCAATAGAAAAAATTCACCAGTTGTTCTCTCTTCGTTACATCTCAATACCTGTGTACTTAACTTATGTATGTACCAATATTTGAAAATGTTTGTTTGTACGCATATTAATACGTAACTGTATTTGTAAGAAAAAAAAGAAGATATTTTTCGAAAACTGGTCTTCAAAATGTACGTATGTATGTATGTTTCCTTAATACTAGTAGCTTTTCGGTTGACAAACTTTCCAAGCAATAATCCATGTTCGACATTTTTTCGAGTTGGTTTTTTTTCTGGTACTGTATATTCAAATTTATTTGATTAAGCATCAGCTAATGCATATTTGGAACATCAAGGTTAAATTGAGTAATGCTATGTAATTGTAGGTGTTATTGAATTAGCATGTTAGCAAGAAAATATATATGTACATACATATCTACAAGAGTGTGTTTGTTGATATTTTTCTTAAGTATTTGAATGAATTTTTACGTTTACTTGCGCTTCGCACAAATATATTTAATTGTCAAGCTACACTGGCGATCATCTATATAGAGTCACTTAAATTATTTTGTACTATTGTAAGATATCTATTTGACTTTATTTCACTATAGCTAGTTTTGTTTTATAATAATATGTTTTTTTTTTCAACAAATTTTAATTTATTTTTTTATTTTATTCTAAGTTAATTTTTACTTAAGCTTGAATTTATTGTGTATTATTTTTCTTCATTTCATTATTTTATTTTATTTATTAGTTTTATTTTAATTTTATCATTGGGTTTTTTGTTTTTCACTTTATTTTAATAAATTTTTTATTTAATTTTATTTATTTAACTTTTTTTATTTTATATAATTTTAGTTTTTTTAAATATAATGCTTTATTTTATTGTGCTTTATTTTACTTTACTTAATTTTATTTTATAAATTTACTTTTTACTCCATTTTATTTTGCTTTACCTTTTTTCCATTTTATTTTATTTTAATTTTTTATTTTTTTTATTTCAATTTAGAAAATTCTACTTTAATTTATTTTGTTGATTAATTTTATTTTTCTTTAATAATTGCGTTTTATTGTTTTTACTCTGTATTATTTTATTTTTTTAATTATATTGTTTTATTTTTTTGGGTTTCATTTAACTTTTCATAATTTTATTTTGTAAAGTTTATTCTTGATTTTACTCCCTGTTATTTTGCTTTTCCTCATTTTATTCCATTTTATTTCATTTTCATTTTTCATTTTTTTATTTCAATTTATTATATTCTACATGATTTTTATTTTATTTATTAATATTATTTCAATTTAATCATTGTGTTTTTTGTTTTTTCTTTATTTTAATATATTTTATTATATTTATTTAACTTTGTTTTATTTTATTATTTTTAATTATATTGTTTTACTTTACTGGGTTTCATTTTACTTTCCTTAATTTTATTTTGTAAACTTACTATTTGATTTTACTCCCTTTTATTTTGCTTTACTTTATTTTATTTCGTTTAATTTAATTTTCCTTTATTTAATATTTTTAATTTAATTTACTTTTAAAATTTTTAATTATATTTAGCTTAATTTATTTTATTTTATTTAATTTTGTTTTATTTTATATTATTTTATTTTATTTTTTTCTTCTATTTTAATTTATTTAATTTTATTTGGTTTAATTTACTTTATTTTTTTATTTGATTTTATATTATTTTATTTCGTTTTTTAATTCAGTTAATTCTTTGATATTATTTTTATTATTATTTTATGTTATTTTTTTTATTAAATTATTATTTTTTATTATTTATTATTATTTTATATCAATCATATTATATTATTTGATTGTATTTTATTTTGGTTAACTATAAAGAAAGCATCGTCAAATAAAATGTATAACAAAATTTTACTAAGCTATAATTTGCGCGCATTATGGACGACAAATATTTCATAACACCAATTTATGCTAAAAAAATAATATTATGTTAAGAAAAACTCATTTAAGGTTGCCCGGCATGTTTACATATTTACGAGTAGCATGGGAGTATCTTATATATATATATGTATACTCTAATTGTACGAAAAATTATTAGATATATATATATATATATACACTTATATATGTCACGCCACTACGAAGAGTCCAAAAACTGGTCTTGCGATCATTTTCTACACACAGAGTCTTCAAACATACATACATACATATGTATAAATGTACATAAAATCACGTAATAGTCTTATAAAGTACATACAAACTCATTGCGCTTCGTGTTTAGAATACAGTATAAAGCGAAAGTGAGTAGGTACTATTTTGTTTTGATTCCCATTTTCGGCCACCGTTGGCTATTAACTTCCAAGTTAATTACAATTGACATGCACGCACATAACTATTTGAATTGCAATACAGTGAGACCCGCATAAGAGACACTATGGCGAGCAAGATATATAATTTATGATTTCAAAATTTTATTTTGTGTTCTTTTTAACTTTAAATTTTTAGCGCTTTTTTGTTAGCAACTTATTCATATACTTTATTTTATTATTAATTTATAAACAATCATACTCAATTTTTTAGTAAAAAATTCCATAAATATTGAAGTTATAAAGCGAAGTATATAACTTTTATTTAAAAAAAATACAAATAAGCTGAGTATATAAGTAAGTAAATGCATCAAAATGATAATAATAATAACAATAATAATAAAATACGTATGTATTTTTCTGATTTTTTTTTTGGAAAGATTAATTGTCCAAATATGTTCGAGGTTAATATAAGTAATTGAACTATTCAAAAAAAAAAAAAAAACAATTTATGTTTCGTTAAATCGGTCCTAAGTTAAAGTTAAATATAAACAACATCAGAAAATAAAAATAAAGGGAAAAACTCATTTTTAACTACTTTTTTTGCAAAGAAGTCTCATATTTTCTAAACGTAACATGAGGCAGGTAAGGGTGCATCGCTAGTATAAATTTCTCGATGCTCAAAAAATTTCTAATGATTCGGTTGAAACATTTGAAAAGCGGTGAAAGCTTATTTCCTATTTTAATAAAACGAAATGACATCATTTCGCAAGTTGTCCATCTCTGCTGGCGAACAATATATACAATAATTTTGCTGAAATAAACATATTTTTAGGCGCAACATTGCTTGAGATGTACATATGCACTGCTATTTTTTTAAACTAGTTTTAGCAAAGTGATGTACAATTTTACATTTATTGTATTATCATTATTTTATATTTATTTCTTGTGGTACTTGGCTTGACAGATTGTGGTTCTTTTCAAATTGAATTCTCCATATTATACAATTCATTGGCAGTTAGTCGAGGAATAAATAGTAAAATAGCAGCTGTGACCATGTGTGACAATGCAATCAATTTAGACGAGATTTTAATACCCGCCAAGGATGAGGACACCAATACTAGTAGGTGCAACCATGGTAGAAGAAGGTGACTACCATGCAATGTTCACCACAAGGCTTTAGGAGAAGCAGTGAAGAAAAATGCATGTAAATATGCGTTTTGGTTTGAATCGGAATATTTTGTAAGCTACAACTTTTTGCATTGATGTACATGTATTTCAAATCTTATTGGATATTAGTCGAAATTATATATGAAAATAAACGCTGCATAGAAGAAGCTGTGGTTTGAATTATTATTGACAATTCTATACTCGAGTTATGTACACAGCGTCCTCCATTTAAATCCATTGAATATACAAACTTTTTAAGAGATGCTTTGTGCAAATATATTCATCTTAAATAGTATTGTAAAAATAAGTGAAAATTTGTATTATATAAAATTAATAATATTTGCAATATTGACTTAAGTCCTACATTTGTACGAGGAGATTGAAAAAAGTTCGATCGGTTGGTGACTTTCAATTTGTTTTTGGTAAATCTAAATCTAATTCTTTACAATTACCTCAGTAGTCTTATTTTTAAATTTTAGAATGATCGGCTAAAAGGACATGAGAAAACACAAGACAGCTGAGGTGATTTTCCTCGTTTTTCTAAGTAATTTACGGTCAATACAAATATTTAGTGAATACCAAATTGCATATGGAATGATTGCACCGTTTTAAAAGACTATTTCTAAGTGGTTCAGAAGATCATTTTTCGTAAAGGACGAGTCTTGAGAAAGTCTATCAAAATCTTCTTGAACTGGGATTGATCATCTGGGATACACGAAGAAATCTGCTCGATGGGTCCCACGAATTTTAAATGAGGCCCTAAAAGAGGCTCGAGTGCATATTGCTCAATTTTTTCTAAACAAATTCGAAAATGGTCAGTCTAGTTGCTTTTTTAAAGCCGTTACTAGTGAGAAACCTTGGTTCTAGAAGTACGATCCAAAAACCCAACAGACGTTTACAGTATAGACCCCAACGGGGTCAAACTCACCCGTAAAAGCTAAGCAACAAAAATTAGCAGCAAAAGTTTTGATGTCAGTTTACTTCAGCACCATATTCCCCGGATATAGCACCTTGTGGTTTCTGGTTATTTCCGAGAGTTAAAAAAATTATAAGGAAAGGAGATAATTAATGCGGTTAGTGATGAAGCTTAAAATTGCAAGATTTTGGAGACTGTTTTCAGAAGTGGATCTGCATTGCATGATTAGTAGAGAAATCCAAAAAATTTTTTTTTCTGGTTAACTTACCGAACTTTTCTTAATTCCCTCGTGTACCAGGTGTGTTAGTATGAAACCGAAATTTTTGTACAGGAAAAAAAAAACGTTTATGATATTATACAAAGTAACTTATTCAAAGTATTGTCCGTTCCATCTTTCTGGCAATTTCTGGATTCCGCGCCAAAAGAACTGT